GCGCCCGCGCCCCCCCCCCCGCCGGCGGGACGCCCCCCGCCTCAGGTTCCCACCCTCTCCTGACCCCATCTGGCTTTCTGATGTGGCCTCCTCTTGTTCCCCTCCACCCTCGCCTGCTGTTCCAAAGCAGACAGTCCAACACGCACCCGGAGCTGTGAGCCTGCCTGTTTCCCCGAGGCCATGCATTTAAATAAAACATGATTATTTTTCCCCATTCTGGAAGTACTTTGAATGGTGCTAAAAATACACACATTGTTGAAATGGGATTTGTGGCGTCCAACAAACGTGTTTTATAACTAGGATGGTTCAGAACAATTATCTGTAAAAGGCTGTGTTTCTGAGGGCCTGAGGGGAACTGTCCCTTATTAAGGAGATGGTGGTCTCTGTACCCAGCCTAGCATTTGAGCAGCAGGGGTGCAAATCCCCCTCAGCCTGACTGGGCACCGTGACCATTCCCACTCTGCACTAGGCCAGGGCGGTCAGAGCTGGGCAGGACGCCGCACTCCCCAAAGAAGCCCACGCAGGTGAGCATCCCGGGAGGACCAGAGGTACCCATACCTTGACCCTGCTGACGGCCTCCTGCGCCTGCATCATGCGGATGTTTTTGGAGGGGTTGCGTTCAGAGAGCAGCTGGGTGGACCCCAAGTAGTTGGCAGCAAAGATGATCCCATCGATGAGGTCTTCTGGCTCACAGGGCCCTGGAACTGAGGGGGTGCACAGTGAGGGTCTCCCCAGAGAGAACACTGTGTGCAAAGCACTCGAAAGCCTGGCCTTGGGACCAGGACCACGGCAGCCAGGACAGGCGAGGGAGAAGGGAGCCTCTGGAATCCGGGCCGACTGGGGGCTGTTTCCTTCCTTACCCTGCTGTTCGTGTCTGGTGGAGACAACGGCACAGAACCAAGACATGGGCCCAAAGACTGCACCTTCGAAGTGCCAGGAGGACCATTCCAGCATCCTAGAGCTGTCACTCGAGCTGGTCTGTTCTAGGGTGACAGGCCTGTGCTGTGAGCTGTGTAGGCGGGGCTGCTTCCAGAGCGGACAGCACTTGCCGCACCTCTGGAGGAGCCTGCCCATCTGACAGTGCCTCTCCCCAACTCCAGCCGCCTCTCACCTACTAAAACTCAGGCTTAGGCTGGGCAGCACTGTCCCTATTCCGCCTGCTGCCTCTAGACTGTGGTGGCCCAGCGGAACTTCCGGGATGTTCCGTCCATGTGCTGTTCAATTCAGGAGCCACTGGCCACAAATTCTCCGGGCACTGGGACCGTGGGCCCTGCCAGGGGAGGCCGAATCTTTTGCCTGTAGGTAGCGTTACCACTCTGCATTTTTGGTTTCAACCAACCTCGGACTGTGCTGTGCAGTGAGACCCGTGGTGGGTGAGTCTGTACCGAACACACGGGGATCTCTTCTCAGGGTTCCCTGAACTCACAGTACGACGACTGCTTGCACAGTATCTGCACTGCATTGGGTATCAGAAGTCATCTGGAAACGTACACATGGGATGTGCAGAGGTTACACGCAAACACCGCAGGTGTACCAGGGACAGCGCAGCAGCCTTGAGCCCAACATTACAGCCCTGAGGGACAGGTGTCCCAGCTGGCTGGGCAGAGCCCACGCGCTCCAGAAGAGAAGCCCACCGTGTGCCGTGGATCTGGGAATCACAGGTTCTGGGAACCAATCCCCAAGGGCACAGCGGTGGTTCTGATTTTGATTTAACTGAAATATGAAAGGCCATGTGTTAACAGGGCTCCTGTACAGGATGGCACTGGCCAACCTCGCCAGGAAAGGGCCCATGCAGACTGCTGCAGGCTTTGTGGTCTGCTACAAGGACTCACCTCTGGGGCTGAGGGACAAACCAATCACGGGTGGTATGCAAATGAGTGGGTGGGGCTGTGTCCCAGTAAACCTTATACAGAAAATCTGGCAGGTGGGGTGCAGTCAGCTGCCACCCAGTCCATCACTCAGCCTTCCTCTCAGGCCCAGAATGGCTGCCTTAGTCTCCTCATCATTTCACACCTCCCACCCAGAGCCCTCTTTCTGGGGGACCTCACCCTGGCTTCAGTTTCCTTTTGCTGCCCCAACTGCCCCTCTCCATTGCCCCAGCCACTCCAGTGTCCAGGGTGAACTATCCTGCACTTCCCTGGCCCTGCTGCCAGTGGTCTCCTGACCTGCTTTCTGCCAGCTGTCCTGGGACCGCACCCTGTTGCTGAGACCATCCAGCTAGTTCACAGTCATCTCTGCCCGGTACCTCATGCCCTCGCCTCTCTGCCCTGTCTGTCTGCCCCAGGGTTCTGCCTGTTTCCTGTGCGTCTGTCCCCAGGACAATCCGTGGAAACTCATGTGCCCAGACTTCTTGGCAAGCACAGCCTGTTCCTGCGGACAGGAACTCCTACACCATACTGCCCTGCATCTTTCTTAGGGTACTGAAGATTAAACCCAGGGCCTCTGTGCCAAGCTACACATCCAGACCTATTTATTTAGAGGTAAAGTCCTGTTAAGTAACTGAGTTGCCTGGCCTGAACTCCAACTTGCAATCCTCTCTCCTCAGCCTCCCACAGTACATGGATCACAGGCACGTGCCTCCACGCCCAGCTCCTCTTTTCCTCTTTTCAAACTTTTACAGCCCTGGCCTCTCCTGCACACTCCAGGCTGCATGGCTAGAGCAGATGCGTCCTCCTTGCCACTTCCCTGGGCAGCAGCAGAGTCCCATGTGAAGCCTGAAGGTCCCTGCACCCCACCCCTCTGCCTAGGGGACCCTCTGTCCCTCTCGCAGGCACCTAACCGCAGCCTGTCAGCGGGTCCTCCCAGGGCTTTAAACATGCACAGGCCTCCCCAAGGGGGCTTGAAAGCCCTTGGCGGTGCCCCCTCTCCTCCCTCTGGTCGGAAGTGCGTGTGCCCCTCCTCCTTGGCATAGCCCAGCCTAGCCATGTCCCAGCACCCCATGAACTCTGTGCCTGCCCACCGTGCCCTCGACTCTGGTGCCAGCAAAGCCAGTGGGCCCTGTGGTCGGCACCCACCCCTGCCTGCTTCCGACTCAGTCTGGACACAGGAACCCAAAGCTACATCCCGCGCCCCAGCGATGTCACTACCCTGACCCCTGCTGATGGAATCAGTAGGGCCTGTGGAAGGCGACCAGGTTCCGAAGGAGGCCCTGGAGGAAGCCGATGGAAAGAGGTACTGAGATGCGACAGGAGCATGCAGCAGTGCCCCTCACAGACCAGGATGCGATCGTGCACCGCAAACATGTGCTAATAAAAATAAAAAAGAACTCTGCACGAAAAGACCCGGAATCTGGCTGCCACAAACCAGCTGCATCATCAAGGGCAACAACGCGGCACTATTCTAGATGTTCCTTCAGTGATGAAACAGAAATCTAAATTCAGCACTCTGAAGACGGCCACCACTTCTAGTACAGGGGTGGCGAACCTTGGCACGCATGCCGCAACTGGCAGCTTGTTGTCATGGAAAGCTCTGAAAGGTTTGCCATCCCTCTGACTGGCCCATGACTAGGAGACTGTGTCTTATTTTAGGATTTAACTAAACATTATGAGAAAATTTAAATCAGAAAATAGAATAATTCCCCGATACCAAGAAAAAACAAACAAAAAAGAAAATAGATTATTTATTGAATAAATATGCTAATCAAGAGCTGGACACATAACTTTAAAAGCTATAATGCTTTAATAAATGCCTTCACCCATTAAAGCTAATTTTAACATTTATTTATGATTTTGGGGATAAAAAAGAGAGAAGTTACAAACTGTGAAATGGCACAGTCCTGGCTTACTCTCTACTCCACTAATTCTGCTGTTATTGGCAAGTGAGTTAAATGATCTGATACTCAATCCTCTCACCTGTAAAATGGAAATAATCCTGAAACTGTTGAGAAGTTGTGAATAATTCCTGTAGAGATCTGAGCAAAAGGCTGGCAACATAGCAAGAGTTCAATAATAAATATATTGATATCTTTTTTCAGAGAATGAGCTCAGTGGCCTTATAAACAGGACATGAGCTCACTCGCTCTTTCTGCCATGTGAGGACACAACAAAAAGTTGCCACCTACAACCATGACCGGGGCCGACCACACTGTCTCTGGGATCCATTTCCGGCCTCTGGAACCATGAGAAATAAATTCTGCTGTTCAGAAGCCACTGGGCTATGGCACTTACTTGAGGCAGCCTGGACTGAAATGTGAATCCCAGCCACAAAATACTCCTCACACTGCCACGAGGGGGCTAGAAACCTCATCCTTTGTCCCTGCTTGAAGCCTCTGCTGGTTTTCCAGATGGAAGCTGGCATCCCTCGGCCTCCAGACCAGGGTCCCTGTTGGGCATCAGTGCTCCTGGCAGGCTGGGGAAGGCTTCGCTGCCCTCTGCCTCAGGGTCATGGATCCTGGAGCCTGGACTTCTGAGCCCCTCCTGGTGTCCCCCCTAGGGTTTGTAGGCCAGAGCAAGCAGACTGTCACCCACCCGCCAGGAGCGGCCTGAGAAGTGGACTTGAGGCTGCAGTGGTACCAGCCTGGCACTGGAGTCACCGGCTACACGACCCTCCGAAAGCACAGGAGGAAGCGGTGCACGACCTCGGAAGGGCTGGGAAGAGAACTGACTACGTGCTACTTTCCCTTCAGCAAACAGCCCCGAGGACTTTAAAGTTCCCAGACAACTCAGAGCGGTCCACCGGCCTCAGCTGTCTCTCCGGAGGTGTGTGCCTGTGGGCACACATCAGCCCAGAACTCTGGGGCGCCACAATGTGAAAAGGCCGCACTGGCTCTCACGTGGACGCTCACATCCCCCAGAGGCTGTGTCCCCTCCTCTTGGCACTCAGGTTGGGTTGCTTCTCAAGGGGTCTTCGGTGACCCGGAAGCTTCGGCCAGAGCCCCATGAGGACTGAAGTGAAGCCCTCACCCCCCCACCCAGGCCTACAGGAGCTACTGGCGTCTCCGGGCACCCGGGACAGAGGACCTCATCAGCGCGAACGGGGCCCTCCCCTCGCCCTCTCTGCGCCTTGTTTCTGGAGGGAAGAACTGTGGAGAGCAGCAGGAGGTGGGTGTGATGACGGCGGGCGGGAGTAAGTGGGCTTTGTCCTGCAGTGTGGAGCCACGAGGGAGGGAACGGGGATGCTGACTGAGCCGGCAGAGCAGCCAGGCTGTCAGACACAAGCTGGTGCTCTCTGGGCACAGGACAGGAAGCACAGACTCCGGGGGCCGGTGGTGCTCTAAATTATTCAAGTCATCGAGTGTCTGTTATCGCCACAAACCCAAACTCAGACTAGAGAGCGTGAGATTGCCATCAGGTCTGAAGACAGCCCGGAGACCTGAGGCAGAGGCGGTCCTGGCATCTGGGGGCCTGGGGGCCAGGGCCAGAGAAGTGGCCCTGTTCTACGAGCCGCTTGGTCGTCGCTCTCTGGGGGGTGAGAGGGAGCGTCTCGCTGCAGACTCGCTTCACGGAGAAACTGCTGAGGAGAGAGCCACTCTAGGGGCCTCAGCCTTGGCTTCCAAGCCTGCGACCCCCTGGGCCCTGATCCTGGGACCTGTTCATCCTGGCCCAGGGCATCTGCTCTGGGGCTGCATTCAGGATGAAGAGGCTGAGACACGGGTCCCGTTTAGCACCAGAGCAGGTCCCCCAAGTCACGAGACTGTTACAGACATTTTCCCAGTGAAAGTGGATCTGGGCACAGCACCAGGGGGTGGGACAGGAAGGAGAGCTCT